CACATTTGCACCCCTAGATGATGGCTCGGAAATAATAGTACCCAAGAATTGGGTACCCCATCCGGACTGGCTCAAGGATGAGGCGTTCCTCTCCGCCAGTGGTCTTAGTACCATGTTTGAAAGATGTACGTTAACCATTTAGCCGGTATTATGTTGTCGTTTCTATTATTGTGATTTCTGTTTTGTCTAATCAACCGGTTTCTTTTTGCAGAAAAAGGTCTAGAAATGGCGGATGCTGAAAAGACGCCTGCCAAGTCTGCGGCCCAGATTCGGAAAGATCAACTTGAGAAGAATAGGGCCTAACTGATGGCTAAGAATGCTGGGGTAAGTTCCGCCTGCATCCCTTGTGTGAACTTTTATAGACATCATATGGTTGTTACCCAGCTGTAACCCATTTGTTCCAATTTCAGGAGGGGAGCAAACACGTTCCACGATCCATCTCCAAAATGCTCAAGCGCAATGCTGATGAGCTTTGCAAAACCCCTTCCAAAGTGAGGAAGGTAAATCCAACTCAGACGGCTTCATCCCTGCCGCCTGTACAAAACAGACCAACAACCGGAGGCAAAGGTCTGGAAGGTCTGAAAAGCGCACAGTCTTATTGCTGAGTTGGCTGGCAACAAGCCGGACGTCCCCTGGACGTCGAAGAGTGGCAAGCCACTCGGTGTTGCAACCGATTCTGCAGCGGCTGTGGGTGGAGAGACCCCTTAGTCTGAAAACCAAGGTATAGACGACTCTTTCGAACTCCCATAGTCGCTTGAGTGTATGTAAGTCAAATCTCAAGCTACCCAATCGGGAGATTCGTCTGGCAGCCGACACAATATATGTGTCGCTTATGCTGCTTTCTCACCACATCCTTCTTCTGGTGCAGATCTCTCTCAAAGGAAGCCAAACCTCCAATAGTACTCCAAACGGATGTTGAGGACCCTCACCCGGTCAGAGAAAGACCAGGTTCCCGGGTTGCAGCAGGTGAGTGGCCCTTATTGGACCTATCTTGGGGTGACACGTGTCCCCTTATGATTGGGCCACGTAGCATGGGTATTTTTACCTAAATCAGGTGGCTAGTAGGACTTAGGCAGAGAGTAAGAAAGAGAGAAAAAAAAATTAAAATAGAAATGTAATTGTTGTAGGTCACCTGGATCAATTTGGGTAGATACATCATATAGTTTGTATTATACTAGAATAACACATAGTTGATTTGGGAAAAGTGACCATAGTTGAGATTATTGTTGTGAATTTTTCCGAGTTCCAATTAAAAATGATCCAACCGGAACCTAACTCGATAAAAATAATACGAATGCGTGGACTTGTCCTTCTCCTCCTTAACAATTAAGGCATCATATTATCGCTCATCGTGGCCTCGTGGAAAAACTCTCTCATCAACGCGGAAGAAAAACCAACAAATAAAAATAACCAACTCATAAAGTCATAAACCAACCTCCTTCATCTCACCTCCATTAGAGAGAAAAAAATCAGCATCAATGGGGTTACAATGGATGCTACTCACCTACGCAGTTGCAGCTGAGGCCGCCATTTTTCTTCTCATCTCACTTCCTTCACCTAAGCTTCTCAAGACTCGCATCGTTTCTCTTATCTCTCTCATCCTTCAGCCGTTAATGTTCATCGTCCCTTTTGCTGGGTTTCAGCTTCTCGGTATCTCTTTCTCTTACCTCCTCCTCCTTCATTTCGATTTTTGATTTTGATTTTGAATTTTGAATTTTGATTTTAGATATTTACTGGAAGTATGAACACCGATTGACGTGTACTTCTGAGATCTGCACTGCTTCTGAGAGGGATCGCTATGAAAAATCGGTATTTTTCTCGTTTTTAGGGTTTCCTTGTTTTGATTTTGTGTAATTTGATATCTTTGTTTGCGTGTTGTTCGATTTATTATGATTCATAATCATCGGTGGATTGATTGCTCGAATATTTAGGATTAATGGGACTGTTTGATTTCCATGGATTTCCTTTTGCTGTATTGTAGTTTTGTTGTTAAGAATTTGGCGTGGATATGCTGAGAGTTGTTGTCATGTCGATTTCGAGGTTTTGCCGGGCTGGCGGTGATTGCATTTTTGAAAAACTCTCTAATGGAGTAGAGTGGCTGAGCCAAGGGAGGTTTTAGGGAAGTAGTTGGTACCCCTTTTGGCTTTTGTTAGTTCCACTTTACAATTGAGTTTTAGGAATGCGACTTTGTTGCGAGTGAACCTTAATTACAAAGCCGTTTCTGGTAGTTCTGGACTTGTGCTGCTTTGGCTATTGGAATTTGAAGTTGTTGGCTGTGTGAAAAGATGATTAGGTACTTTGTTTGTTAAGGGTAGACAAGAATAGTACTAAGATTTCTTCCCAGGGTAGAAATGCTTGGATTTGTGGAAATTTAATTTCAGAATTGTAGAAGAATATGATCATATTTGACATTCGGTAACATAGTCACTTATTGTGGGTTATGCATTATTCGTGATCTTGATTCATTGAGTTCCTTTTCACACATAAGATTGGCTAGGTACTATGTGCAGGTTTATGTTTTTTCTTTGCAAAAGCATTCTATTCCTTCTCCCACGTAGAATCCATACCAGAAAAATTTCCAAATTTCACCGATAAGTTGATGTCTAGGTTACTGCATTAATGCGGTCAGCTGAATAAGTGTTATGTTTTTTTAGCTTGGAACCTCGGTCATATGAAGTCATCCTGGTCTTTTGGAGTAATGCATCTATTTTTGACTGCTTTAGGCGTCTGCCTATCTTTGTACATTAAGTTTTTGTTGTAGTTTCATACCCTCATTTGCCTCCTCCCCTTCTAAGTATGATAGGCAAGACCAGATCTTAACCATAATTGAAGAGGCATCCACCTATTGTGGAGTAGAGAGTAGAGTGTGGGTATGCACTTTTACGTATAGTGAATGGTAGAAAACTTAGATTTGAAAATGTTTGTATATTGCTCGGGAGAATTTGAGCATGTTTTATTTTCTATATTAGCATTATTTAGGGAGGTATGCTTTTTATTTGGCAATGTTGTGAAGTGTTATCGGAATTTAACTGTGCAGCTATTTGATGTCTAGTTTTTTAGCTTGTGCCCCCCTCCCTTTTGTTTTCTTTTTAATTTCCCCCCAAATGCTGTTATATGGCCTACCTCTTTGTTTCATCTCAGCTTATTCTTGTTTTGTTTCCTCTTATTGGCCTGTTTTTTCTCTTATCTTTCTTAAATTCTTCTCCTCTCTCCAAAGTCTGAACTACTTCCTCTCCATAATCTCTGTCAAGCTGGTATCAGGGCCTACTTCATTACCCATTGTTGTTACTAGTCTATATCATATAACTAAATAGTAGCTGAGGGTGCTATGTTTTACAAAATATCCATTTAGAAAAGGTTCTTGCTAGTGGATATGCTTAGAATTTATGGAAATACAAGTATATATTTAAAGATATTAATAGTCAAAGATGTGAATTGAAGACCGTGATAAAGCAAGTGTAACCATTTTACTGAAATGGGGGTAACCTCACCTCTGTATCATCTTTTTCTCCTTAATTTCTTTTTGACTTTTACCCTCTTCTATGGTACTCCTTTGTAAATGTCTAAACAATAGAGCCCAGGTTCTTTTAAACTATTGCTGCTAGTAAAGAATCCCTACATCACCATGATTAACTTTATAGACAGTGCCAAATTCATTTCTGTTTGAAAAAGAAAATGCTGGTTCTCTTTGCTTTTGATTGGAGTAAACAGAGGGTGAAACTTCTAAATGAAAATATGAAGGGGTTCATAAATCAGTTACTGTTTCATCAGTCTATTTTTTAATGACCACCATATTAACCATCAACTATTTCCTGAATTTTCTTACCTACCATTACTGATCCTTATAATATAGGAGAGTAGAAATTGGTGAAGGCGAGAGAGTAGGTGATAGGGACAACATGGAGAAATATGCTAGGAGTGTGTTGGGGGTTATGGAGAAATATGCTAGAAAAATATAGTGAAGTCATTTTCTTGCAAAATAGGAATGAGAGAGGGGTGCGAAGCATTATAATAAACTAGTGAGGCTGGGCTGGTGCCACTCCCAGCTAGCTTCTATACGCCTACTTTTGTCTGTTTTACTCTTCACTTTGAAGCATTTGTTGGATTCAAGTCAAAAAGAGAATCCTTGTGTAATAAATTAAACTTATTAAAAGTGAAGCGAAACAAAGTTCTTTGGTATGGTGTATCCTTCTTACAGCTGAATCTTGAACCTTTCCAAGTATTCATCCCATGTGTGTTGCCCATATGGTGTGGATTTATGCATGCATGACTACAATAGGCGGTTTTATTATTTTCTATAAAATCTAACCGTCGCGTCTTTATCCCTTGACAGCTGTACAAATCTCAGAGGAATGTGATTCTTTGTGCTTCAGCCTGTCTTCTCTACTGGTATGTGTGCAGCTGCTGAAATAATGAAATCTTTTGTTTGCAAAACAAGTTTTTCTATGGCTTGATTATGATTAATGTAAATTGGCCGTATTCTAGGTGCATCTACCGTGTGTGCAAGTATTACAAGGATATTCAAAACCTGGAGGAAGTTGAAAAGAGGTACAAGAAGCTGTAAACTTCCTAAGCTTTCACCTGTTTCTCTACCACAACATGGAGATTAGAAGCTAGTTAAGGCGGTTTTTTGATATCAGGATACACACTTCAGCTACAGGAGACCCTTCTCATTGTCTTTTTATTTCCTTTTTTGTTGTTGAATCTGTGGATGGAATTTATTGTCTATAGAAACTTAAGTAGATTTCTCTTTGTATGTTACCTTTAATGGGCTCGCCTGGTCGCCAGAATACTGTGAAGTTGTGAATTATTTTAATTTAAACGTATCTATCTTATACAAAGCATGAACTTATTAGCTCTTATACAGCTGAACTAAACCGTTTTTTTTTATGAAATAAGTGGAAATAAAGTGAACTGAACATGATATTGATAGCGCATACAATTATACTCCACTTGATGTTTTGTAGGAGCACGGTTTAGAAAAGTTTGTTATTTTAATGTACAAAAAATAAGTAGAAATTTGGTTCATTACTTTCAAGGAGATAGTGAAAATAAAGTTTACAGCATAGGGGTATATATTCAATTAGGGCTTTTATTGTTAAAAAAAAAAAAAAAAAATAAAAAAAATAGAATGTTATTATGCTGAAGTTTGATATATACTCCATAACCATCATTAAGGAAAAGAAATGTACATCACACAATTTACTACGCAATTTTCTCCACAGCAGAATCGAAAGGTTTACTAATTTGATTTACGAAATTGTCCAGAAAATAGTCGCTGTGCATGACAACATTGAAGATATCCCCTTTACATTTCCCCTTTGACGATCGCTTTCTTCCTATACATTGGAAATGCAGTTTTGTATGCTCAAGCCAAAGCACTTCCCAACTGCATAGAGAACTTACTATCATAGGAAAGTCAGAAGAAAAAACAGTTAATTGTATGCAATTGGTAGATAGGACCAATTAGATTCAAAATACTACGTAGAATCAAGTTTCAACATTATGTGTGATCTCTATTTACCTTTGGAGAAAAGTTGGAAGAATGTTACTGTAGGTGTTTTGGGGATATACAAAAGAAACTTTAAAATATTTGCCTAACTAATTCGACTTAAATTAAGGGCACAATCAACATCTCGTCCTCTGTACCTGTTACTTTAAGGCAATTAACCGAACTTGCAAAGGGGTTCACTTCTACCGTTATAGTGTAAGTCTAGCATCTCTTTTTATTCTAAACATCTTATATTTATGTTGCTCATTCCTTGGTTTGAGTTAAGGATCATTGCATACCTCCGAGGTAAACATAACAGAGTAGTATCTTGAGGAAGGTATTTTGCAAGACAGGTAATGGCAGTAAACATAAAGGTTTGTTTCTTAATCATAATCTTTAACACTCTCTCTAAGCTATCCTTTTTATGAATCTTTCCAAATGTCTTTAGTTAGGATGGAGTTTTACAAAGATATTTTTATTTCCCGATATCACACAATTCAATTCCAAAACACCATTTAGCAAAAGAAGGCTTACTTTGACAATGTTAGTTGGAAACCATGCTCTCAGTTTCCTGCACAAAGCCATCTCCTGTCCAGTCTTTATCAGATGCCAAACCTTTTCTGGTAGCTTTTCTTTGCTGTATAGCTTCCTTCTGCATTCGTACCAATTCCGTGTGTGTTGTGAAGTATGGTAAAGAAGCACTGTAGAGGGAAACAAGTGCTTAGAAACAGATTAACTTAAAGCCACATTAGAAATTTTTAACTATTGGCTATACCCTCGAAAATCTTCTATCGACAAGAAATTATGTGTTCTCATGAAGTCCTTTAGTTCAGAGCATAGCTTCTTCACATGACCATACCCATGCATCATGACTCCTGTGCAGACCTGGAAGATGGATATCATAGATGTTATACACTTTTTTTTAATAAAATAAAGAAACCTAACACCTTCGCCATCATCAAGCCAAGTTAGCCAACTACAACAATCTCTCTAGGGAGGAATACAAAATGTTACAAAATTCTTCACATTGATACCATCACTATTAGAAATATAGGTAGATCTATACTGCCTCTCCCCCTTATTTAATCAACACATTGGCTAAGGGCCTATTCTGTTTAGCTTAATTTCAATTCAGTTCTTTCTCTCATAAACATTTCATTATAGCTCAGCTCAGTTCAGTTCAACTCAGCTCAGTTCAGTTCAGCCCCAATCAATTCAGTTGTTTTCAGTAAATCAGAACAGACTATAATGCATGTAGATTAATGAGTTGAAAGCAGAGATAAAAAAAAAGTGGGTGGCCAAATGTGGGGCGCAGGTTAAGTATTTAGCAGAAAATCTTACTAAAATGAAAATGTAGATATTAATGCGAGAGTTCCAGAAATAGGATTAACAAGCAATGTTTAAAACAATCTGGTATGGACTTTAACACTAAGATAACACAAAAGAGCTGAAGTTGAGGAAGAGAAATGAAAGTTGGGAAAAGGTAAGGACAGACAATAATGATTATGGGTAAAATGAGACGAGGATAGAAAGCATAACAAGAACAGAGGAAACGGTAAATAGTTCAGTATTGCTTCAAGCATGGGATTATCAAGTACAGATGTTCCAATGTTACTTTGTCAGAATTGTTTCCACTTCCTTTTTGCCAAATATGTATGACAAAACATCAACCTATAACAGGTCTTTTAATCACAAAACGAAGATCATCAAGACAACATACACACATATAGATAGGAAAAATTATTAAGGTTGTACCTGAACAGTATTTGCTCCAAGAAGAATAAATTCAGCAGCATCACCCCCAGTCTCAACACCTCCAATTCCAGACAAGGAATGTTCAGGACTAAAATCTGCCTGCATCATCTTTGCAATACTCATCACTTTTGCAAGTGCAATAGGATGAACCGCCTTTGAAGAATATCCACCAGGGGTTGAGTACCTATTGGTGAAAATTTGACAATTTAGTTTTAAAGTAAACCTTGAATTTCCTATGGATAGCAAAATTTTAATTGCATAACATAATATGCTCACCCCTCAACACAGGGTTCAGGGCGAAGGGTAGTGAGATTGATCCCCATAACACTCTCAATTGTATTGATAGCAGCAATTCCTTCACATCCTGATTTAAGAGCCACCCTTGCTGGCTGTAATTCATGAAAAAGATTGTTAATGTATGAGCACTAAGCATTACGCAAAGTCAATAAACTAATACTTCATTCGACCCTAGTTAATAGTCCTTAGCAAGAAATTAAGCTAAAATACTAATGATATCATTCAGTAATTACATTTTTTAATTTCTACATCACCATTCCAAAGTAGTAACTCCGTATTTCTTTGGAATTCTTAGTAGGTATCATCAAAAATCACATGGAAAAGTTATTATTTCAACATACTCAACTAGAAAGTATTTTACTCTTATCAGACAAAATACGAGAGAAATGTGGTCTATTAGTTTGGGACAGAGATAGATTCAAATTAAAACTACACACTCTGTTGAAAGGTGTAGAGCAATAACCACCTCTGTGATATCAGTGACGTTGGGGGTCATCTTTGCCCACACTGGAACAGTAGCTTTAGCATTTATCCAGCCGCTGATCTCCTCTATCAATGCACAGTCCTTTCCTACAGCAGAACCCATCTTACGCTCTGGCATACCATGAGGACATGAGAAGTTGATTTCAATTGCATCCTATATAGCGGGAAAAAAAAGAGTAGAAGTTAGCCTCTGTGGTATAATATTTACATTAAAGCGCCAAAATCAAATCATTGAATGGATGAAGAAATATTACAATTCCTGTTTGTTCGACTTGGTCAATAAGCTCCTCCCATGCAGCTTTGTTATATTCTTCCATGATTGAAGCAATCAAAATTCTGTTAGGATATTCTTCCTTCAACTGCTTAAATTCTTTCAACATAGTTTCAAGGGGCCGATCACTAATGAGCTCAATGTTTTCCCATCCAATTATTTGTCCTTTTGGGGAGCCGTTAGCAACTTTTAATCGTGCATAGCGAGGAGTTACATTTATAACTTTATCAGCCTCCAATGAAACCTAGAAAAATGAGACCATCAGATAAGGAGTTGCATTCAAATAAGTACCAACAACCACCTAGTATAAATCTTATTGAGGTGAGATCAGGGAAGGTCCAGATTATCAAAGAAGTATTAATAATACTTAAACTCCCTTATACCAATTCTCCCTAAAAAATAATAGCCCAAACCAGTTCCCAGAGAGGTAATTGCAGCACTTAAATATAGAAGCAATATAAAAATTCATGGATTTGATAATAACATCCACTGATCAAATTTGGTTTGTTTAACTGAACTGAAGGACCGTTATTAAAATAAAAAATATCCACTGATATTAAGGGTGTTAATATCAGTGCCATTCACTTACAATACTCCAACTCAATGCCAAGATTGTCAAGACACTTGATTGAATGCAACCTTAATAACTACCATAGATCCCCCAAAGAAAAATACAAGGGTGATAAAGACAGAAAACAGAGAAAAATGTGGAAACAGTTGTTATATGAAAGACAACCTGATACTTACCAAATTTACATCCTTAATCTAAAGCTTACAGTATGCTATTAAACAACTTCTAAAAGAGGCCAATGTTGAGAATTTGAAATGCTGTGCAAGCAAGGCATGTTCAAGAAGAATCACAATACCTAGTAATGATAGTGAATAAACATAAAACTTGCTTCATGAGTGAAATTTTCAATATTTTAAAAGCCATTCTCAGCTCTCAAGATATAGACCTCAGCCTATGCTAAGTTTTAGGATCTCATACTCCTGATTTCCTACCGTAATTTAAATATTTGCATCACTGAAGTCACTCGATTGTAAGAGACAGATCATCAAAATAGAAACTAAAAAATTAACATGAATTTCAAAGTTGGGGGGATGCCTTACTAATTTCTTATCTTCTTTTATTCATGATATAGTAAGCCCATAAAGGTGGACAGGTGGTGCACCTTAAAAATTTACATATAGTTGAAATTCACTACTTTGAAAAATGAGAGAGTGTAAAAGAGCCTGGCATACTCATTCCTTTCTTAAGGCTGGAAGGCCATTGTAGATCTGTATGTATCTATTGGCACTAATAGAAGGTCATAATAACAATGCAAGGATAGTTACAAATACCTTCAAAATGTTATGTGCGGCTTAATCATGAATTATGATTAAGATCAAACACTTGTTGCTACTAGAAACTCTAAGGAAAGAGCAGAGAAATTGACAGAAGTGCCTCTTGGAACTCACTATTAGCTAACGTCATTTTAGTGTAACGCAATGAACTTAGCATTGATGCCTACATGTAATAACCAAATGACCCTATGGCAATAACATTTTCACAAACTTCTTGTGCATCTCAATTGGCTTTTCAATATTGGTTTTTCAGCAGGAATGATTAAATTGAGCTCTGAAAGGTTGGCTTACTCTATGTCTAAATTAGAACTTTAGATCCCTATAAATCGCAATCACTAAAGCCAACTGATGCCATATTTGACCTTTGAATTGTTGAGGTCTATACCAGTGCTTTTAAGAAGCATAATATTGAAAACTATGCAACAAATAGTCTACACTACTACTCCCATAAGGATGTATTAGCATGCATGTACATTACACAAATAATATAATTAGTATAATATAGAATTATGGTGTCGCTCAAAGTATCCCCAAGGGACCCCAACACCATATTTTACATGCAACTGATGCCGTGGTAAAGCTCATCCCAAGCTTGGATTTGCTAGTTTGGCATAGCTAAGAATGGTGATCCAATCAATTTGAATCGACTTGCTTCCATTCTAGGTGTAGCAAACAATCACCTATACTTGAAGACTCAAGCACCATGCCAGATGCATTTCCACATCTCCTTAGACCACAAAGGAAGTGGCTCATATAAGGTCCACATCATGAAAGCACACTAAGGGGGCATTTGGTTAGTGTATTTTTTGGATTGGAAACAGGTTCGATTAAACCGATACCGTTACTGTGTGTTTGGTTTAAAGGTATGGTAATAATTACCATTACCTAAGGGTAATGGTTACCCCTCATTTATTACTTCTCAAAAACTTGGGGTAACAAATACCCTTACCCACCTATTAACAAATACCCTTTCCATGGTTAAACCAAACAAATGAAAAGGTAATAGATAAATGATTCCTTTCCCCCTCTTATTTGTTTCCTTTCCACTCCGTTTCCATTTTCCAAACCAAACGCCCCCTAAGGACCCTTCAATTCACCAAGAGCACAATTTGTCTCACTTAATTGCTATGAAGATACTCCCTCCGTCCCCGAAACTTCGACCCTTTTGGGTTTATCTCGCGAGTATTAAGAAGTTAAATTGAAAGTGTAAGAGTGTATGGGGAAACTAAGAAAAGTACATTGAAAAGGGAAATTTACATTGGAATTGCAAAAAAGTAGAGAGAGAAAGTAATTAAAGTATATAGAAAAAGCAAAATTTGCATGGGAAAGCTAATTTTGCACAAATATTATTGCAAATTAAAGGGTATTAAAATGCAAATGGGATGAACACTTTGGGACTAAAATTAGGCCATAAGGGTCGAAGTTTCGGGGACGGAGGGAGTATAATATATTTGCGAATATTTCGTTTGTTCCAATACACGGAATCTTCTATAATTAAATAAATTTTCAATTTTCAATGCACTGCTTTAATGCATAAATCATTGTGATTTGCGATTCTGGGAGTTCTTCATTCTCCAAAATGTACTTTTGACACAAATTATACTTTAACTCGGCTTTTTTTTTCCTTAAGAAATATGTTTCTAATCTACTACTTCCTCCTTTTAGTCTAGTCATGCTCGCCAACTTTTGTATCGTCCCATGATACTTGTTCTCACTTTAGAATAACAATGCGTTATTAGTTTATTACTGGTCAGATTAAAAATTCACAATGTGTTGGATACTTTAGAACACCAATATTATAACCACCACAATTTTTACATGATACCTTCAAAACATTTGTTGATATAATCACAATTTTCATCGGTTTGTCAGTATTGATCGCAGACTAGCTTAGTTCATTAAAGTCTTAACGAATAACACCCGTCACCTAAAATCGAATCTATCTACATAACATAACACCTTGATCATTCTTATCCATATATAAATAGAGATCTCTATAATAAACTCATTATCAACACTAAAATTCCATAGAATCAAATATCACATAAAATACCATTAAACAAAATCCAAAAAAAAAGGATCAAAATATAAAGAAACTCACAGTTTTAGCAATAACAGCACCCCATCCTTCATCAAAGGCCTTCTTCATAACAGTGTAGTTAGTCCCGGGTGGACCCGACCCGATCACAAACGGGTTTGGCATCGTCAACCCGTTAACCTTAACACTAAGATCCGGCTCCACTTGCGATTCGGTTGCGAATACTTTGAACCCAACTCGAGTCGGCCGAGTCGACCGAGTTGAGTTGGGGCAGTGAAACGGCGTGATTGGGCTAGCTTTTAGCTGGGTTGTTAGCTTGATTGCTGCCATTGATGAGATAGAATGAAGCATTTGTTTTCTCTTTGAAATTTGGCAGAAATTATAGAACAAGGTTAATGAATGAAGAGTTTGTTGTAATTTTATAGAGGAAAAAAATGAATAGAATTGGTGGAGTATTGAGTTTGTAGAATAATGAAAAATGAATAATCGAGGGTGTTTTTGTTGAAGTGGTGAATTTTATATCCAAGAAAATATGAGCTGTTATATTCTTATGTGAAATAAATCCAAATTATAGTAAAGTTTAATGGATAACTAGAGTTTAGCAACGGGCGATGTCTCGGGAATATACGTATAATATTTTTTCCTTCGTATTATAGTTTTCATGTATTATATATAATAATTTTAAATATTTATTATAGATTTAGTTGAAGAAAATAATTTGCACAAAAAAAAAAAAAACAAAAGAAAAAAAAACTCGTGGCCTACATGAACTATATTTAAGAAGAATAAATAAGTAAAAGTATTAGATAGCAAAGATGGTATGGCTTCTTATTTATTTTCTAATGGACCCAAGTTTAATTCTTGACATAAACATTTTTAATTGACATTTATCGTTCATGTATAATTTTCCTTGGTGACGTGGCATCTTCTTGGTGCGTGTATTCTTATTAGCAGCGCCTTTTAATTAATATATATAGTACAGATTACCAATAATAAACTAAAAGTACAAGATTTTTTTTTTTAAAAAAAAACTTGATAATTTTTCTACGAGTAAGATTACCTAACTATATATTTCCTGCACTTTTTATTTAATGGTAATGTTGGAATTTCATGCTTGCTAATTCCAACATTACTGGGGTGAATTATACTAGAAAATTCATGGTTAAACTTTATACTAGCTATAAATAGAGAAATTATTTAATGCATGTCAGTGAAAATTCTTTCTTTCTTTTTTTATTATTTTGGTGTTCCCATCCGATTCACCTTTTGGACTAATTCGAGTTCAGAGTACTAAATAGTTATATTCCAGTCTCCTTTCAAGTCCTGATTATTGTTGCAATTTATGTTCAAACTTTAAATTGACAGCAAAAGCAAGAGGCGGAGAGAGGTACCACTTATCAACATTTTTTTTTGACGGAACATCTTAATCTTAATCTTAATTTCAATTTCAATAATGTAAATGTCCCTATCAAAAAAATATAATGTAAACGTAAGGTAGTTACAAGCTTTCAAATTTATTATGCTACTTGCTTGTCTACTTTGCTAAGTTAGGAAGATTGAGTGCTACTTACTTCGTCTTATGTATTCAGCAAAAGATAGTACTTGTTCTTCGCAATATTGTGTAGTTGCAACTTGTAGTACTACGTAATTAAAATGTGGAGATTCCCTCAAAGAATAAAGGTGGGAGAATGAGTAGGAGAACATTCTGTTGCACATGGAGCCATAAATGGATTGAACAAGTTAAACATACAATAATACAAGAGATTATTTTGGGATCAGAAAATTAATTGCATGATTCTTCCCTAATTTATTTACTAAAATAATCATTTATTTAATATTTTACTTTCTTATAAAATTAAAGATTAGGGATTTGGATATGGTTGTCAACCACTCTTTGTTACAAAGTGACAAAAAGAGAGGGTGAATATTTAGGGTGGTGCTGGTGGTCAAATCACTTGTATCGCATTTTATTAATTTGTTAGTTAATAAATGTGGAGTGATTTTCGCAAATAATACAATGGAGTATGTTGTAAACTAATTTCTACATCTTTATTAACGACTTGAATAATAAATTTTCTAAATTTGTTTATTTTTTCAATACCAAAATTAAAAAAAAAAAAATAAAATACATCAAATATTTTTAAAAAATAGAGCTCATACAATAATTGAATGATGAAAGGAGTACATGAGGAAGAAAAATTAAATTATTATTATTATTATTAGAGAGAATAGACTATTTTTTTGAAAATTGAGATTAATAATAACATAGTTGACCAAAATTTTAATAAAAAAAATAAAAATAAAGTGATAACATCATTTACAGTTTTGGAGGGATTTTTTTTTTTTTTTTTTTTTTTTTTAAGAAGAGGGAAATTTTTTAATAACAACATGACATATGTCCAATTTTAAAAAAAGATGATGTCATCGGTTGCTATTTTAGTATTAGTTATAGATTTTGTAAAGATTCAACTATATTTCGATAGGTTTTTTTTTTTTTTTTACAACAGCAAAACTGACAAATAAAATTACAAAACATTAGAAAAGTTAACTAATCCAGTCCTACAAGCATTAGCTATCCGATGTGCATCCTGCACTTGCTCCCTCTGAACCTTGAGAATGTTGCATATCTCTAGTTGATTCCCTAAACTTCTTATTTACATAAACGTCCAATCAAGGCTAATGTCTCTTTGGTTCAATTGGCGTAAAATTGAAATAAGGTTTTCAGATCAGAGTCCAAGAAGATAAGTAACTTTATAAAATTCTTGCTTATTCTCCATTTAATAGCTTCCGAAATAGCTAAAGCCTCCACATACAAAGCCGAAATTCCTACACCAAAGTCACCCCCACCCTCCAATTCCACATCATCTCCAAATGAAATCGTCCAACCTATCTATACCAAATCTTCCCCTCCTCTTATCCCATGAACCATCTACTTGGAGTATGCAATCATGTCGTACTGTCATTAATCCAAAAGGTTGTTTTAGCTTCCCTATAAAAACTTAATTGAAATCAGGGGGAGGCCAAAATGTGTGTTCCCATAGTGTCATCATAAACCCTTGGAGTTCCCAAACGTCGAAGATCCAGCTTATTAAATTCCTTCATGAATTGCAAAGCCCCATAAGTTATATACCAAAGTTCTTGGCAAATTTTTACAGGAAAAGTATTAGACGTACTATATTATTTGTTAAAAATGATAGAATCAAAAGGTGAGATATGTTTGGTTTCAAAAAAAAAAAAAAGAAAAAAAAAAGAAAAAGAAAAATGAGATATTGTGAAATAGAAACAAAAACACGAGAGATTGAGAGAGAATTAATGTGTGTATCTTTATTCCATATGATCAGTGGCGGACTTGGGCTTAGACCTGGTGGGTCAAGTGACTCACCAGGCCCAAAAAAAAATTTTAAGTTATTTTTTAAAAAAAAAAAAAATTAAAATCAGTTTTCCCCAAAAAAACCAAAATTCAGTTCAAGACTTCAAGCCCTAGCCTTCTTCTCTTCGCGACTTCGCCTCATCTCCATTCTTCAGTTCGCCTCTTCGCTTCGTCCCAGCCAGGCAGCCAGCGTTCTCTTCGCTTGGTGGTCGGACGTCGGTGGTCGTGGACTCCGTCCTCTTCGTGGCTTCTCGCATAGTCGCATAATCGCATTTCGAAATCGCTACTCGCTAGTAAGTTGATTTCTAATTTTAATTTTTAATTTCTAATCTTCAAATTAATTCAGTCTAATTAGTTAATTTTATTAAAATTTGGTTTAAACTTTGGTTGATTTGTTAATTTGTAGTTGGCTGTGCTGCTGAATTGGCGAATTGCTGTCTTGCTGAGTGCGTGCCTCGGTGCCTGAGACTTGAGTGCTGCCGACTGCCGTGTTGCGGTGCTGGCCGACTGCCCGTGGCCCTATTGCAGTGCTGCTCCGCCTGCTCCGCTGCTCGCCTCCGCCTAGCAAGGTAGGTAATCAACTAATCATCAATTGATTCTTTTTGTGAAATCTGTTTTGTGTAATTGTGTTTTGTGTAATTGTGTTTTGTGTAATTGAAATCTCTTGAACTTATTAGTTATTACTTATGTGAAATCTGTTTTGTGTAATTGTGTTTTGTGTAATATGTTTATGTGATTATGTTATGTCATTATGTGAAATTGCTTGATTTAGACCATTTAGTTGAATATTTATTCAAATAATTTTTCTGGGGAATATTGCTTGATTTAGTTCAATATTTATTCAAATTTCAGAATGAAGAGAAAACGTACTCCAAATGAAATGCAAAACATTACTAGCTTCTTTGTTAAAAAGAATCCTACTCCAACTTCTCTTCCACATCCAACACAAAATGAACAAACTATAACTCCACCTCAAGAAAGTGAGCAACTTTCATCTCCATCTCATTATTCAACTCAAAATTCCCCTCAAAATGAACAAGGCCAATGTTCTCCTAATGCCCCAATCTTTGGAGAAAGATTAAGTGAACATGAATTTGCTAATCTTCCACAAGATCCAGGAAAGAGGAGAAAAATGAGTCAATTTCATAAAGATGATAGAGATTTAGTGAGAAGAATTTACATTCAAAGAAAGCCTTGTCAGCCCAAAGACTTTACATTTCCTCAAACTTCTATTTTTGGCAAAAATCGTCGCTTTTGTGCTAAGTGGTTTGATACTTGGACTTGGCTTGAGTATAGTGTGGAAAAGGATGCTGCCTATTGTTTCCCTCGTTATCTATTCAAGGATGAAAATGCCTTTGGAGGTGATGCTTTTGTTAGTGATGGTTTCAAATCATGGAATCGATCGGATTTAATAAGAAAACATGTCGGTAAACACTTGAGTGCACATAATAATGCTGTTTTAGCTATGGATTTGTTCAAGAAACAAAATTCAAGCATCACACAAGCCTTAACAAAACAAACCGCTGAGAGTACAAATGCATATAGGACGCGACTTGAAGCTTCAATTGAATCTATCCAATGGCTTTTACTCCAAGGGTTGCCTTTCCGTGGTCATGATGAAAAACAAAGTTCCTTAAGAAGAGGTAACTTTCTTTCACTTTTATCCCTTATTTCCAAAGGTAATCCTGAATATTCTAAAGTTGTTTTCAAAAATGCTCCTAGTAATTGTCAACTTACTTCTCCTCAAGTCCAAAAAGATATCATAAATGCATGTGCAAAAGAGACCACTAAAGCAATGCTTGAAGATATTGATGGTGGTTTATTTTCTATCCTTGCTGATGAGTCCGCTGATGTTTCTGACAAGGAACAATTGGCTCTTTGTTTGAGATATGTTAATAGAAAGGGAGAAGTGTGTGAGCGTTTACTTGGTATTGTGCATGTTGTAAACACTGCTTCTTTGACTCTCAAAACTGCTATTGAATCCTTATTAATGGAGCATTCTTTGTCTTTCTCTCAAGTACGGGGTCAGGGTTATGATGGGGCAAGTAATATGCAAGGTTCTATTAATGGCCTTAGGACTCTTATAGAGAATGAGTGTAAAGAAGCTTATTTTGTCCACTGCTTTGCTCACCAACTTCAATTAACTCAAGTTGCACTTGCTAACAAGAATTCAGATTGTGCTTGGTTATTTGTTGATGTACTTGCACCTCTCTTGAATTTTGTGGGGGGTTCACCAAAAAGGAAAGAGTTTCTTCGTGAAAATCAAGCTCAAAGAGTGGTGGATGCATTGTCTCTAGGTGAACTTGAAACGGGTTCAGGTTTAAATCAAGAACGTGGATTAGGTAGACCTTGTGATACTCGTTGGGGATCTCACTTCAAGACAATCTTGAATGTACTTGATTTATTCCCTGTAATCCTTGGTTCTCTTGAGGATATTGCAAAAGTATCTGATACAATAGATTCTAATAGAGCTCAAACACTTACAAATCTTCTGATGTCCTTTGATTTTGTGTTCGTGGCACACTTGATGGTTAGTATATTTGCGATAACAAATGCTTTGAATGTGGCCTTACAAAAGCACGATCAAGACATTGTGAATGCAATGGCCATGGTTAATGTAACCAAGACTAATTTGCAAAAAATGAGAGATGAAGGATGGGATTCTCATATGGAAAAGGTAATTTCTTTTATTGGTGACTATGACATTGCAGTTCCAGATATGGAGGCTAAATATGTTGTTCCCGGGAGGAGGTTGTTTAGAGGTAAATGCCCACAAGTGTCTAATCTACATCATTTTCGAGTTGAAGTTTTTTTTGGTGTCATTGATCTTCAATTGCAAGAACTTGAAAATCGATTTCCCGAAATAACTAAAGAACTACTTGTGTGTATTTCTTGTTTGAGTCCTGTGGATCGTTTTTCTAAGTTTGATAAGGAAAAATTGATTAAGCTTGCAAAATTCTATCCTAATGAATTTCCAAGTTCAGAATTGATAGTCTTTGGTCATACACTTGATAGTTACATTTGTTCTGTTAGAGGAGATGAAAGGTTTTGGAATTTGAAGGGTCTTAGTGATCTTTCAATCAAATTGGTTGAAACGGGATTGTCTAAAACTCATGATAGGGTCTATTTACTTTTGAAGTTGGTGTTGCTTCTTCCTGTTGCAACGGCAAGTGTGGAAAGGGTATTTTCTGGCATGAAGCAAGTGAAAGACAAACTACGAAATAGCATGGGAGATCAAATGTTGAATGATTGTTTAATTACTTATTTGGAGAATGATTTGTTTTTGAATGTTAGCATGGAAGATATCATGAATCGATATCAAAACATGAAAACTCGTCGAGAACTATTGTAATAAGTTTGCATTACTATTTAGTTGTCTTTTGTAGTATTATATGAACATTTGGTTGTATTTTGTACTGTTTGAATATTTGGATGTATTTTTTAGTACTATTATTTGGTTGTTTGGTAAAAAAAATTTTTTACATATTTGATTATTGATTGTGACTCACCAGTCGGAAAATCCTGGGTCCGCCACTGCATATGATGGGGGTATATATACATACAATATAATTAGGGTTTGCTTGGATAACAATAAACCCTAGATCTAGAATATTGTGGATGATACAACAAGGATAATGGGCATCCACCCAATATTTCATAACACTCCTCCTTGAATGTCCATTATTGAAGACTGTGTCTCGTTAAAACCTTAATAAGAAACACCCTATGGGATAAAAACCTAATTAAGGAAAAAGAGTACAACATTCTTCATAATACGCTCGAAATGCTGCCTCATTAAAAACCTTACCAGGAAAACCTAATGTGGGACAAAACTATTGTCAAAGGAAAAAGAGTGCAGCGCGTATTTTCTCCCCCTGATAAATACATAACTTGAGATTTTCTAGTGCCGCAGCAATGAATCCAATATGGTTAGATATCTTCTCATATGTAGTAAAATATCATTCGTTGACTTCAATCCTCCTAAAATAAAATTGCATCTTCAAGTCTTCACGTGAACATGTGAAGTGTCTTCATTTTCACCATACTTGTGTTTATCTCTAATATCATTATTTCAAATCTCTGTTTAATTGTTGATTTAAAAGTTAAACTTATGCGATTATGACTTCTTCTGGAGGTCATGAATAATAGAAATTGATGATCATTATTTGATCAAACACATTAATAATAATTTGATGACAACGCAATATATTATTAATGTCGTTCTTCAATCTCATTATAATATAAACACATGTAATTATATACGCTGATCATGATTCTTATAGACCATAAAAAAACGTTATCAAGCATAAGTATTCCATTAATATTCTTTAGGCGTTTCATAATTGATACGATAGCTCTCTTGCAAATATAAATAGTAAATCTCACTAACTCTCATATGCTCAAACTTCAGGTTGAGATGTCAATGATATAGTCATTTAAACTTTTCAAGTCTTTGATAATAATTGCAATATTCAAGATATAAACTTTGTAGGGCTAGATATTTAAATACGTCGTATATAAGTTTCAGGAACTCTTCTTACATGATTCATAACATGTAGTTAAATCGGCTTCATCAATAATTTCACCACAATTATAAGCCCATTGGAATATTAATATCTCTTTCTAATTTTCCATAAAAGATGTAAATATGCCTTACTATACTTTGAATGAACATTCACATACACCACAATTATTGTATAGAAACTAATGCATGCAATATGAGATATAGAAAACATGATAACATATTAAACAAAATATATAATGAGTAATGTATCTAACAACTTCTGACATATGCAATGAATAATACATTAACTTATAACTCACACATGCATATAAACATACATGGACTCAAAATAATGCAAGACACTGTACGGTGTGGATTTAAAAATCCATATTTCATTGGACTTCTGGTCCATGATAAACTTTCTAATTATTATCATTATGTCGACATTAAAATGGACATATATATATTTCAGATCCCTTATTCACTAGTCCATTCTATCATGCACATGCATATTATTTATCGGTTCCATAGTATACCGATATTATAAAATTCAGTAAGATACAATTTCACATGCTAATTTACTATGATATCTGAATACATCTCCAATTGGTATCAATATAACCTTTTTTTATATCATAGGCCATCTATTATACTTCTCAAATATCTATATGTACCACTTCAATTTGGGGTATTTCATACATCATGGTATTAATATTAGCTGCACTATCTTGCCATATATCACATATATATATTGGAACCGATCTTACAATCTACACTTCAGGTGTAGTGATTCAACGAAAATAGGCAAGATCCATCTCAATGTATGCACATTCTCACTATGATCAAAATATATCTCTCTATGCCTTTGAATGGGTCATAACGCACGGAGTACAAATCAAATAATAGATGTGCAATATATGTTGATACAAAAGTTGGCATGTAACTTTATAAAGTATCATTAGAGGGATCAATTAATTATAATTTTATGATTTTGCCAACTTATGCCAATTCACTAGGCGAAAAATGTATATCCGCACTGGTTCAAAACCCCCCTTTCGCACCGGTTTTGAACCGGTCCTGATTTGAGGGGTGCTAAAAAGAAAAACTTTTCGCACGGTTCAAAACCGGTAGGAAAACTAAGATTTAGCACCAGTTAACTGGTGCGAAAAGTAAGTGCTGCGCGTTTTTTATTTTGATTTTAACTACAATAGGCACCGGTTAACTGGTGCCCATTATTCCTTCATAAAAAAAAATTGCAATTTTTTCAGTTAAAATTCATCAGACAATTAACCCATAATCGTTTCCCTAAAAAAAAAAACCCCCAGAAATTGTTATATACATTAATAAATTGTTATTTTACATTAAACACACACACACACACATATATATTCATCAAATAAATTGTTATACATTAATCACAAATATATATTCATCAAATAAATTGTTATTTTACAATTCATAAAAAAAACCCAGAAAAAACGCAACAATGAACAACAAAATCTTTGAATCTTGAATCTTTCTTCTATGTGGAGTCGCTGCAGTTGAATTTTTTATTTTTTATTTTTTATTTTTATTTTTTTATAAGGAATACTACCTGCAAAATTGTAACGACAGATTAGAGAAGAGATGAGAGAGATCAGAAAAGAGATGAGAGAGAAGAACGAGAGACCCTAGAAAAACCTAAAAAAAACCCAGAAACCCAAAAAAAACCAGAAAAAACCCAGAACTTTAAAACCCGAAACGCAGAAAAAACCGAGAAAAAAACCGAGAAAAAACTCAAAAACCTAGAAAAAACCCAGAACATAAAAACCGAAACGCAAAGCTAAAACCGAGAAACCCAAAAACGCAGAAAAAACCGAGAAACCGAAAAAACCCAGAACATAAAAACCGAAACGCAAAGCTTAAACCGTGAAACCCAGAAACATAAACAACTCAGAAACCGAGAAATAAAAACCCAGAAAAACCCAGAAAATACCCAAAAACGCAGAAAAAATCCAGAAACCAAAACGAAAAAGTAAAGGACCCAGAAACCCTAACCTCAAATTTCTGATTTTTTAATCGAAAATTCAATCAAATTTGTTGTGGTTGACAGTGGCGGTGATGGTTGTTGTGGTTGACGGCGGCGGCGATGGTTATTGTGCTTGGTTTCGAAATTCGATTAAGGTCGGTGATTGTTGAGACGAGGAAGAAGAACGAGAAATCAGAGAAGAACGAGAGAGCAGAAGGAAGAGAAGAACTAGAGATCAGAAAAGAGATGAAAGAGATTAGAGATGAGATGAGGGAGAAGAACGAAGAACAGACATGAGAGAGAAGGAGAAAGAGAAGGAGAGCAAAAAAGAGGCGGATGAGAGAGAAGGAGAACAGAGTTAAGGGTTTATAAGAAGAGCCCGATTTTTTTTTTATAAAACATTATTTCGCACCAGTTTGGTTTGAACCGGTGCGAAATCCCTTTCTCCCCCCCTTTTTTTTCCTCTTTTATAATTCGCACCGGTTTGAACCGGTGCGAAAAAGATAATTTCGCACCGGTTTAATAGGAACCGGTGCAAAAAGTCTTTTTCTCAATCCCGCCCATTTCTTTTACCACCGGTTTTCAAGAACCGGTGCGAAAAGTACGGTGCATATTTCATTTTTTCTACTAGTGATTCTCCCCCCCCCCCTATATTGATAAAATATCTCAAATATTGGGGCAATTTTTCACCAACTTAGAATATAATTTTATGTGCAACAAATTCCATCTCGTAGGATAATCATATTCAACAAATTTCATTCTCTTCTGGAGAATAATGAAATTTTGTTCCCTTCTAGAGATCAATATTAATAGGGAGTCATGAATTGTTCAGTTGTCTATTTTTTTTATTCTATTTATTTCTTATGTGCTGATATAAAATAGCCCCAATCAAGAGATTAATCACTTGTATGTAAAGCCATTATATGGTGATCTTTTAATTCTCCAAATACGTTACTTTAATAATGTGTTTCTAGTTACTCAAAATCACTACACACACAAGTTGTTTTTAGTGAGCTTCTGGCCACTTATTATTTCTTCACATGCTAAATTCTCTTGAAATTTCTTCAAAGTAAACTATTAAATCACGATCTAAATATAGCTCAATCTCAACATTGTGTCTAGCCATTCAATTCATTTCATATATCTAACATGAGAGAACATCAGCACATTATTTTTCATATCAAATGAAACTTTTGGGTTTCTAAACGGGTAATTATTAAACCCGGATGGCCTAATTTAATCATCACATCCAGTCATTTCTCTAAATCTGAACTCTATGATGTGATAATAGAACACCAACACGTGTTTGTTTATACATTGGCAAGACAATCAACTAATATATTATCCAATTACTCAATCATACTCTGGAGTTTTGATTATAATCTTGATACATGTTAATCTTGTTGGACATTTCATTCTCTTCGGGAGTATTTTATATAATCATGGAATATATGAATTTTATTAAAAGTGATTTTTCCTAGAAATGTAATGGGATTTATTACATTTTTTTTAAAGCATGAGATTTATCACTTCCTCAAATTTGTGATTGTCAATAGTTGCTCCTTTCCTTTTTCGAAGGTTCTTATATTTTAAATCTATATATTGGACTATCACGCTTCAGACGTGCTTTAGGTTCATTAGTAACCGTTGTTGTCCTTCTGGGACATTAATATTAATTGGAGCATTTACAGCTGATAATGATATATAGTCAACGACATTTATTTATATCCATCTTCAGGATGGTGTCATTGTAAATATGTAATATTATGTGGTCACTTTTATTAAATAAAATTATTGACATTGATATTAAAGCTAATGTATGCATTACTGACCATCAATGTATCATATAATTAATGTCCAAGGATTATATTACATATAATAATGAAATAAATAATATCTCCCCCTAATCCTTGCATATGGGGCTAATGGGGGATATGAAATTAATCCAAGTTATCCAACAACCTTGAAGTCCCTTGCACTATTTAAGCCATAAATTCTTTTGGTAATGTCATGTATCAAGCAAAGAAAAATATTCTTATAAAACTCTTATTTGTTCTTGTTGCCCAATTATATTAATCTTTAAGTTGAAAATTCTGTAAACTATGGGCATAATAAATACATTTTTCAAGTAATTTGCTTAAAATAGCATTTTAATATCAACTAGATACTCTTATGAACATTTTCATAAATTATATAATCAAGAAAACAACATGCAAATATACTTGTTAATTTTCTCAATCATTTCCGAGAATGAGCTAATAAGTCTTGCATGACATATATAGGAACATATTAGTTTTGTGAACGAAGAATAATCTAGTCAACATACTTTCAAAACTATTAGACATTTTTAGATTGTTTTAGAAGGTTTCTAACCCATTATAAATTTAAGGAACTTCAGGTTTATATGTCCGAGAATTCTTTCAATTTACACATACATCATTCCCATAATCCAGCTTCATGTATTATCGTGTCTCTTAAACAATTATCCCTTACTAAACAAATATTTACAAATATGAAACCTTCGCTTTAAATATATTAATTATACAATCTAACATTTTAGAACGAGAAGGTAATAACAGAATAGGACTTAATTAGTTCAAGTTGTAATCAAAACATACCTTAGTTGATATACTCAACTATACTGCCAAAACAAAACTTAGGAAACAAGAGCAACCACATGATGAGCTCACAAGATTAGCGTGTCATATGTTAGTGGCAAAACCATACTTGAGATATCAAGGTCATTCATAATATTTTTGTAGCACATAATTCAACATCTCCCACAGTTTCATAAGTCATATGCCTTATGTGAAACACTTAAGAGAATTTAATTATTTATAGTTGGAAACTTCCAACATCATGTTACGTATATCACATGGAAATAAACACAAATTTTTTTTCTCTTCATAGATAATAAGGT